GGTATACGAAATCAAGCTTTATACCTCCAGCAGAAAACCATCGAGCTCGCAAAAATGTAGTTGCATGTATCAAGGACATTGCCAAGAAGTGCCCTAACGAGGATGATCTCAAGGTGGCCCTCAGGAAAGACATCGTTGCCGACATCGGCAGCACGACCGAGAGGTTGAACTACAAGGTTGGATCGTGTCCAGCCATCACCGCGAATCGCGGCGCCATCATGGGCTACCGGTTCGCTTCTCAGGGGCGGCAGGTCACCATGGACGATCTCGCTCAGCTGCAGGGCTACAGCAAGGGCTACTTCAACGACGCAATCAAAGAGGCGAAGGTCAGCGAGGCCAGGGTCGACCACACGATGGGTTCTCACAATGTCTGTAAGTGTCCTCCTCCTCCTCCTCGCTCCTCCTCCTGATCCTCGTCCTCGTCCTCGTCCTCCTCCTCCTCTTTCTCCTCCTCCTCCTCCTCGCTCCTCCTCCCCCTCCTCCTCCTCCTCCTCCTCCTCCTCCTCCTCCTCCTCCTCCTCCTCCTCCTCCTCCTCCTCCTCCTCTCGCCCAGATCGGTGCGCGCCCAACAGCTTCGTGAGAAACTCACGAAGGCTCAGCGTCAGTCAGTGTTTGCAGCGCCGCATGTGGGGAGCGGCTCGTCCGACGCACTGGTTGAGAACACATGCGCCCAATGATCAATGACCGTGATGACCGTCAACATCATCATCCTCATCATCATCATCATCCTCATCATCAGCATCATCATCGGCATCCCCAAGGCGACCCAAGATGCCGCCAAAACAACCCGATAAGGAGAAGGCCATCGAAAAGACCCGAGATGGGAAAGCATGCTTTCGAGCTTTCAGGTAGAAGCCCAAAAGGACACCAAAACCGCCCTTAGGAAAGCCAAAGAAATCCCGAATAAGTTCCCACGAAGCCCCGAATAAGCCCCCAAAAGGCTCCAAAACTGCCTCCCAGAGGACCCCATATCCCTCCGAAGAGACTTCAAACATGCACCCATGAACTCAGACTCTGCCCCACGATGGCGGGATAAGCCACAGGCAATAAGATAATGAGAGAGGCCAATGAGTTCTCGAGCACACGTTTGAATGAAACATGCAATTGGCGAGGATATCTCGAAAGCTGTGCCTAGCGAAGCTTGGGTCCAGGAAGGAAAAGGAGAGGGAGGGAGTGGGACGGGGGGGGGAGGAGGGCGGGGACAAGAGCGAGACGAGTTGGATCAAACGACGCCTGAGGTCTCCAGGGTTTGGGCACAGCTCGTTAACCCACTGTCTTTCTGACAGGAACCTCCACCTTCTCCTCCTCCTCCTCCTCCTCCTCCTCCTTCCAACTTCCCTCGACTCCTCCGCAGCCGTTTCGGCTCAACTGGTTTCACGATGACGCCTGTGTATTTCTTGTACCACAAACGCATGGCGTCATCTGGTGTGCTGTCTACTACCTTGCCGAGGATATCGGCTGATCCCGTGGACAATATCAATGCCGAGTTCATCAGCCACATGACGGACGTGCTAAACTTGGTGCAGGGCCACGAGATCTTCAAGCCGATCGCGTCAAACCCTGATGACGAGCAGCGCCGCGTAGCGCCGGGCGAAAAGGGACCAGGGCAGCCCGCGTTCAACATGGATGCCTTCACGCACGACTTGACCAACGGCGGTGGGAAGCACACCTGCATCACCAGCGAGTGGAACTTGAGCCCGTTCTACACCATGCACGGCGGCGTGCCGTACAACGAGGAGAAGACTGCTGAGCTCAAGCACACGTGCTTCCGCGAGCCCTGTCTCTACACAAGCACCGTCTCTGTCATGGTGGACGCCCCTTCGGTGAACCCGATGACGGTCAAGGGCAGATGGCAGCGCCTGTCGCCAGAGGAACCGTTTTTCGCTCGCTTGTTGGCCATCAAAGACGCCACCGACAATCATGCGCCTGCAGAGACTCTCATTGCGCACCGCCGGGACATCCTCACGACGACCGTGCAGCTCGAGCTTCACAAAGGCAAGGACAAGACGACAGCCTGGTCTCGCAGCATCAACCTCAGGGAGCAGCTCATGTCCGAGGCCGCTGCAGTGGGCCGTGGTAGGCTTCAGCGTGTATGCGAGGCTCTGAGCACCAATGAAACGCATGTCATCCGTTCCTGAGTGTTCGGACTTTCGGATTCCAAGGTTCCAGAGTGTCCGGGCTTTCGGATTCTGGGGTCCAGTTTCGGTGGTTCGCTCTTTGCATCCCAGGGGTTCAGGGGTTCGACGACCTGGATTGCGATGGCAAGTTTCAGTGGTGCCCTCGAGGTTATACAGACTCGTGGCAAGCTGGCTGCACTGCTGCCCAAGAAGAAAGACTCCACCCAAAAGATACCCAACGCAAAAGTCTTCGATTGGTATTCTGAGCAGGTGGTTTTGAACAGGAGGGCGGAGCCCGTCAACCTTAGCTTCATTGAAGCCACGGGCCCCGTCGGCGAGAACATCTTAAAAAAAACGATGCCAACCTGAGCGCCCTCCGGAAGGCCATCGCGAAGTGGGGGGTTGATGGGCCCTTCGAGAGCGTGCACAAGCTAAATCTGATCGTCACCAGGTGCAACAAGGACAAGAAGCTGATCAATTGGGTGCTCCATGCGATCATCGACCTCTGCTTGAAGGGCACAGTTCAATGTGGCGAGGTCACGTTCAAGAACCTCAAGGATGGCATCGGGGGGAACAAAGGTTTGATAGACGTGCTGATCATGAAGAAACAGATCCGAGACCACTTGATTCATGGCAAGTACTTGGCTGTGTACGGGACCCCCAAGCTTCAGTCCTATGTCCAGGAAGTCTTTTCCAGCCACGCCGTCTACAGGACGAAGGTGGAGCCGCTGAACGATGACATGGAGGTCGACTTGAGCTGGAAGATGTCTGCTAAGGACGTCGAGAAGAAAATGTTCCAGTTGACAGGGGATTGCGGTATCGGAATCATGTGCCCCGCGAGTACTCAGCCGACGCACCCCCCCCCCTTATCCCGAGTTTGAGCTGGGGTGGGCGTCGGCTGTGTCACTTGTTGTGAACCACGTGATTCCGATTCAGGATGTGGTGTTCTCTTCCGAGTACGACCCCCAGCTGCGCTACTGCTGCCGCAAGTCGAAGAGCATCGAGGAGGTGATGGAGCATAATGGGATCAAGGAAGACATCGACAAAGTCTGGGAGGCCCAGGTGATCGCCCAAGAGTCGACGAAGCGAAAGGATGAGGAGGAACTGGATGCCTGTGGTACGGCGCCAGTCAGGAAGCGCCAGACAGTCGACCAGGAGGAGGATGGTGTGATGGTTACCCCCTCCCTGGAGGACCCTGCTGACAAGCATGCCGTCGAGGCTTGGTATTACAAGCACGCCAAGAAGAAGGTCTTAGACAACGTGAAGCTGGTCTGCGACTCAGGGAAAAGTGAGGCGGCCTTGCAGACAACCATCTCCCAGACAGCGATCGGCACCGAGGAGGGCGCCATGACAGGGCATGTCCTGATCCACCCGGGCGTCACGCTGACGGGAGAACCCGTCACAGCACCACACATCAGGACTGCTCCGTACCGCAAGGAACAGGTGTCTCGTCTGCGGACCGCCGTGATCAACGCGAGGCGCAAGAGCATCTCGGACTCCAAGCGCTTGAACCAGGGCGACGTGTACGTGTACCTCGACGGTGGGAAGAAAGGCGGGATCGTTTGAACCTCCCTCTCTCAAGGGCATCCTGGGGACTCGGGACGTTTGTGTTGTTCTCCGGGGACTCCAGGACTCAGGGCATCTCGGGGACTCAGGGACTGAGGGGCGTCCCGGGGACTCGAGGACGAAGGGTGATTCTGGATTCCTGCTCGCCCGATCTGTAAACTCGAAGGAGGTTCGGCCGATGCCTTACGCAAGGCACCGGGGACAGAGTCAACAAGGTCATGGTCACCACGAAGGGTCGCTGGAAGGTCGCGTGCCAGTCCGAGGGCGTTGCGAAGAACACCACCAACTTGTTGTTCGAGGAGTCGAGTTTGAAAAACCGCCGAGCTCTGGTCCGTGGGGTGTCTGCGCTCAAGCAGCTTCAGACGATGCACTTCTATCACACCAGCGACGCCACCATACCCGAGAAAAAACGATCTGTGTATCCTGGATCCAACAACGGGAACGTCATGGGCCCTGTCGCTTACGAGTCATGGGAGTCCAGCTGGAAGATGACGGTCGGAGAGAAGCTTAAGTTCTACGGCCCGAACCCCAGTGAAGTAGGGGGCAAGACTATCGATGGCGAGGAGAAGGCTAGCGACTGTGAGAGCGTCGAGGTTGACGAGACCGGCGGCGCCGATCTGGACAGCGCCGAGAAGCCTGAGTTCGATGTGCCGCTCGTCGGCGGGGGCAGGGGCAGTGGTCGCCAAATGAAGCAGGCCGTGGAGCCAGTACGCTGGCACGCACTGCCGCGTGAATTCTACAAGGAGATCACGTCGAGCTACTACATCAAGACTGTGATCGACCTAACGCCCGGCAATGGGAACTTTGCCCTCCACTGCATCCAGAATGGCATCGGATACTTGGGAGTCTGCTTCCAGAACGAGGAGCACAAGGCAATGCTGACGGAGCACCTGATCAAAGAGTACATGATCCTCATGAAGACCGAGGGCAACAAGCACTACCACGCAAGCTACGCGAAGCACCTCGTTGGGGTGGCTACCAGCGGGCCTGGCGACGAGGATGAGGCGGCCAAGAGAAAGGCAACTGCAGCGGCCAAGAAGGCGGCGGCTGCCGCCTAGAAGAAAACCACAGCGGCGGCGAAGAAGAAGGCAACATCTGCAGACGCGGCAGATGGTGAGGATCCCATTGAGGAGGGAGATGGTGGCGCTTCTGAGGAGGATGACGCGGCTGGGACAGGAGCAGCTGGGTCGCTGGCCGCGATGTTGAGCAACATCGACTGAGATGCCGGCAAGCGCTGGCAGCACACCACCTTTTTTGTTCAGGCTCATAGGCACTAGGATAGCATCGCAACTTTATCGACCGCCAGTCACTCATAACTCACGCTGGCTGCAATGCGACTGGGCTCTGGGGGATCAGGGGAATCAGGCACATATGTTCGGTTCGGTGGTAGTCGCAGTTGCAGAAGCATGTCTTAGAGTGCGCCTGGTCACGCATTATGGTCGCATGTACCAGCGGACAGGCAGCCCCGGCAGCCCCGTACGTCGACATCGACCCCGTGTCGTTACTAGGTAGTTGCATTTTCATCGAGTAAAACGGCGCCAGACCTAGAACGAAAGATCGGCCCGTTGATAGAGTGCGAAAGCACAATCCTCACCATCCTCCTTCTCCGATCCTCCTCCTGCTCCTCCTCCTCCTCCTCCTCCTCATTCTCCCTGGTCACCGATCCGTCCTCCTGTCTGCATCGTCCCACTGCTCATGCTACCCTTATCCATTCGGGACCGCCTCCTCGCTGCATCGTCTCACTGCTCATGCTACCCTTCTCCCCATCCAATCGGGGCCGCCAGCTGATACACCTGAGCAGATCACCGACCTGAAATCCTCACATCCCTCACCATCTTCAATCATCTTCATTCTCAGTCGCCTTTTTTGGCTCGAATAATTATGTTTGGTTGCTGTGCGTTAGTTACGTGAGTATGTACGCTGCTGCACACCACCTCCCGTTGGGCCGACCCATGGACCGCCCGTCTCAGCCGTACGCTCTCATCAAACACGGTGATCGTCTTCAAGGTTCCACCAGTCTGCCTGGTAACGATCTTGGCGACAGGATCATCATGACGCAGTCGTGGAAGTCGTGTGCCGAGTTCTGGTGCCCAGATCTTGTCAGAGAGGTCCACGTGTCGCACGTGCTCAGGACGGTGCCATTCGGGCCCCGTGACTTGCTCGTGCGCGTGGAGTGCGGGCATTCTGTAAAGTTCTATTGCCCCAAATCGTTTCGGAGAAGTGCCCTGGTCGCGTTGATCGCACAAAGTATCGCTCGAATGCGCTTCGTAGCGATGGGCCAAGGGTTTGCTCCAGACTGAGCGTCTTTCGAGTGGCCGCATATAGAGCACGGCCCCCGACCTGCATAGCGTTGCTGGTGAATTGGGATTGTCACTGAACAGTTAGCGCTATTAGGCACCAGTGCATACATCTTAGCGCAGAGGCAGAACCCAGGACAACATGGGGGGTTGGGAAGCGAATGGGCGAGGGTAAGGAGGGAGACAGAGAACTGAGGGATGATTGGAGGACGGGGTGGGCGAAGAGGCAAGAGGGGCATGGCAAGCGTCGTGTAGACATGCTCGTTTGTGTGCTCGGAGCCGCGCTAGCATCGTGATAGAGGAGGGCGGAGGGAGGAGGTGGGGTGAGGAGCAGGACGAGGCTCCGCAAACGTCCGTCGAAGCCTGGTCCGCCGTGTCCTGACAAGCGCAACGCCCGGACAAGCGTGGCAGATAAGGCATGTGTCCCTGGCCAGAGCCCTACCACAAGCTCGGGTTATGCGATCTACGAGATATCCTTATTGGGGTCTTGAGGCAGTCGCCGTCCTGTTGAGCCAGAGTGGTAGCGCTACCACTCTGGCTCAACACGACGGGTGCACCCGTCCTGTTGAGTACCACCCTGCGCCCACCAAGGCCACCATCGAACAAGATCTCGTTCGCGATGGCCTGGGTGGGTACAGGGTGGTACTCAACAGGACGGGTGCACCCGTCCTGTTGAGCCAGAGTGGTAGCGCTACCACTCTGGCTCAACACGACGGCGAACTAACATGGGACCTGGAGGCCAGCAGCACCCCGAAATCTCCGGACAATCAGACATGATAAGCATCTTACGCCCGGACACTCTGGAAACTTAAGGGCGCAACCCTCGACATCTTGGCGAGACTGGATGTCCTGTCTCACCTCTCAACACGACCAGGGGGAGGAGGAGGAGGAGGAGGAGGAGGAGGAGGAGGAGGAGGAGGAGGAGGAGGAGGAGCCTCAGCCGACTGAGGAGCCTCGGCTGCGGTGAGCTGCCATGGGAAACGTCTGCCTCCGCCAGCGCGCTGCCACCAGGGAGACGTCCCGGAATCCGGGGCCTCCAAGGGCTCACCACACCTCTCAACGCGACCGGACGTCCCGGAATCCTGGGCCTCGAAAGCTTACCACACCTCTCAACAAGACCGGACGTCCCGGAATCCTGGGCCTCGAAAGCTTACCACACCTCTCAACACGACCGGACGTCCCGAAATCCTGGGCCTCGAAAGCTTACCGCACCTCTCAACACGACCAGACGTCCCGAAATCCTGGGCCTCCAAGGGCTCACCACACCTCTCAACACGACCGGACGTCCCGGTAAACTCTCGAAGCGGCCGACGCCCAAGACTCCGGGAAGTCCGGTCGCGTTCAGAGGTGTGGTAATATCAGGATCTTCGCCTCCCAGGTGCAAAAAACATGATGAAAGTCGACTGCCATTCTGGCCGTCCACGACAGAGGATCTCAAAGGCCTCCAAGAAGCCCCCAGAGGCCCCCTAAGAATCCGTACTTGAGCCCTAGTGGATTCCCCAAGAGGCCCAAAGGGAGCCGCAAGAAACGCCACAACGGACCTCAAACGCCTTCTCACGAGATCCTAACGAGCACTCTGTTCTGACCCCCCAACCCCTTAGAAAAACATAAGGAAACCATATCTTGCCTGTCATAGCTCCTCGTCCCTCCCACAGGCGCCCCCGACGAAATAGCGACTGGGTGATACGATGATATGATGATGCGATGCCGTCCGTAGTCATGTTGACTCGAACACTGAGCGCGCTCTATGCCGCGCACAGACGTCGGCATGCGCCGATGACGTTGCTAGTGTCACCGAAACAGTTGCGTCGCAGACGTGTCACCCACGCCACCCGATGCCGAATCCTGCGACGCATGGCTCTGCGTCTTGAGAGACCTGGTGCGAGACCTGGACTTGCAGACGACGTCATTCACTACAAATCGTGTGATTCGTCCAAGTGTTGTAGGTGCAGGTTCCTATCGCATGAACAGCAGTGGGCCAGACAATTACCGTTGCATCTTGGTTTGGACTCTGTCAAAGCCGATCTGCCTGCTACGTGGATGATTGGATCAATTAGCTCTGGTGCATGCGGACTTGGCTGTATCTGCTGCAAAGCAGCCGGCGCTCCAGGGCCTTACAGCGCTTGCCAGGTGGACTCCCTCGAGACGATGCAGCTTGTGAATCTAAAGAAACATCATTCGAGCAGGCAGCATCGTGAGGCTACCCAAAAATATTTGCATGAGATCGCTGGTGTTGCGGGTCCTACTGGTAATATTGTTGTGGGAGCACCTCCTGCCGATCAATTCGCGACGCTGTGGGGCACGATATGCAAAGGGACTGCACTACACAGTGGCATCCCAGATATTGGCCAAAAACATGAACTTCAACGAATGGATTGGTGCTTGGCTGAATCTATTCGGCGACGCGACCGAGAATTTCTCGGCCGTGCCACATGTATCGCAGTGTTTCGGGACGAGCGCCACTCGCGCCTCGCGGTCAGGTTCTTCGCCTGCGACTCTTCCCTGAACGTGCTGCATGGCCACCTCGGTATACGAAAGCACTTTGGGACTGGTGCGAGTGCTATCACGGCAGCGACATCAGACGTCCTTCGACGAGCTGCGACGGTGAACGCCTGTGCTCCTCCGCGGAGAGATCCTGGTTCAGAGCCCAAGGGCAAGCTTGACCATGAGACCCAGGCAAGCATCACGAAAAATATTCGAATGATATGTGTTGACTCTGCTGCTGACGAGGTGGCCTCAGTTAGAGACATGGTCGACCCTGTGAATGGAACGCTCCACTCGCGCCCAACGTGGAGGCGCTTCTTAGGGACAATGCTCACGGGGCACGCAGGAATCATCACGGTCAAAACCTACAGCTAGCCATGATGATGATGATGATGATGATGACGATGATAATGATGATGATGACGACGATGACGACAACGATGACCAGCGACGACGACGACGTCCGTCTGCCTTCTGCTGATGCTACCATCGGTGCTGCTACTGCTGCTGCTGCCACCCTTCCAGCACACACCTGCTCCCTGTTTCTTCTTGATGCGGCCCCAGGATGCTGAGCAGACCCTGGAGTGCCGACGAAACCATCAACGCCATGGTGCAATTTTTCATCGCTGGGAAAAACAGCCTGGTACAGAAAATCGACCATTCTCTAGTATTGCGGAAAATGTTTACATCCACGTGCGACGAGTTTGATAGGGGGCTGAAGAAGAGCAATTCTTCTTTGATGAGCCTCCACTCGGCCAAGCACCGGTTCGAGAGCTATGCCGCGCCGATGGGGAGGTGGGATGGAAATGCGGGAACCGTTTGTCATTCATCAGCAATGCCCATGCCCCATTGAATTGGCTCCCTCCTCCCCGTCCTCCTCCTGATCCTCCGCCCCCTCCTCGTCTCACCCTCTTCCTTCCCCTCCACCTCCTTCTCATCCTCCTCAGCCCCCTCCTTATCTTATCCTCCGTGACCCCCCATATCCTAATCATTTTTTGTCGGTCCTCACTTCTGGGTTGGCCTGAAGCCCGAAACGATGTCTGTTAGAATGCTGATGATGGCGACTGGCTCCTGCACTTGCATAGGCGGGTTCTCTGGTTCACCCCACTGTGTCTTGCAGCGCGCGACCTGACCATCATGAGGACGTCTGCCGATGCACGCTGCGCCGTTGAGCTCATGGAGGTTGCGACAACTTCCAAGGCAGTATTCCTGGGCATGTTGGCAGACGCCGCCGACGATGGATTTGAATTCGCTCGTCGAGCTGACGACTTCGACTC